ACTGTTTTACTGTGCGCTGATGTCAGCGTGATGCCAGCGCTGACGTCACAAAACTCGGGCTTCAGCCCAGGCAGAAGTTGCCCTTGGGCTTGCTCGGGCTCGTGGGACCCACCACCAAACCGGGCTACGGGCCCTGCGCTGGAGCTGCCTCGGGCTCCCTCTGGCAGCCTTTCCCCCAGGCTGGTCCATGCGCTGGAGGTGCTCTAAGGGGGCACGAGAACTTCTGCATAGTGTCAATAACAATTTTCTTTCGAAATTGTAATTTTGTTCATATTTTAAATTGTACTTAAATGTTTTTTTTTTCCTTCTTCTATATATATAAAGCAAAAGACAGAGAATTGTAAACCATTTAAAATACTAAAAAATGTCCTTGTTTATATTTAAAATCAGTTCTTATAGCCTTTTTTATATTAAAAAAAAAAAAAAAAGGAAATAGTTATAACTTGATAAGGGTAATGGAAGTTACAACATGCAGTAAAAAAAAAGGGGTGTGAGAGAATACGGATAGATAAAGAGTAACTTTGTTTGTATCGTTCGGTCGTTTCTTTTTTTTTTTTTTTTTTTTTTTTTTTATATATCTCTTATTCCGAGACATGACCTTCCAATTTATTAAGTTTTTGTTGTAACTTCATAAGAGGCATCCGGTCTTCAAATCTACTTAACTTTGGTTGTATCGTTTTACTTTTGTCGTTTTTCATGTGTTTATGTAAGGAAACTAGCACTCCAAAATAGTTAGCATATACACTTTGTTCGCGAGTACTTATTTAGTTACGATTTTGGTTCCTTACTAATTTATTAGTCCTATTGTAATTGAGATTTATTTCCTATTGTATTTATGGTTAACACATGTTTGTACTTCTTTATAAATACCTTCATATTTGAGAAGAATAAAATATGAAATATTTGAAATATCTTAATACATGTGGGAATACATATTTTCGGCAACCAATAAGGAGGTGACACGTGAAAAAAAGGAATATTCCTTAGGTCAACTAATTACCCTAATTAAATCATAATTAATTACAAAATTATCTTTGATTTAGGATAGGAATATCTCCTTAAATCAAGGATTTGATTTCCAAAAAATCTTTTTGATTTATCCTATCACCTATTTTTGTGTAAGAATTATCCTAATTAAATAAAGAATTATTCTTCAAACTTTAACCAAGCAAGGAGTCTATAAATAAATGGTTGCGCAACACATAAGAGGTAATTCTAAAAACCATGGCAAAATTCTTCTCTCTCTCTCCTCTTTCTCCTACATGGCCAAGCGCCACCCCTCACACATAGCGAAGGCCACCCGACTCTCCCCGTGAGAGAAAACTCCGACCTTTCCTTCATTTTCATATCTTCCTAAAGATCCTCTAACTAACTTAGGTATGGAAGGGCCTTTGACCAACACCCCCATTGACTCCAATCTATTTTACAGAAACCGATGAACAAGAAAGAGAAGGAAGCTGTGAAAGAATCTCTCGCGAATATTCTCTCATGTGAATATTTGCTCAAACAATACATATAAAAAATTAACATATCTTTGTCCTATCAACTTAAAATATAACACATCAAAAAATTTATGTTCTAAATTGATGTTATCCTTGTTATCTCACTATCTCTTTGTCTCCCTCCTCCCTCTCTTCGACTATCCCAATTCTCACTTTCCAGGATTATACTACTCAACACTCATTTAAAACCCAATTCCCACAAACTAACACTTGTCCCTTTTTTATATTCTCAAAGGTTTATTTTGCACTTCAATTATTCTTAACAAGAGAGACACG